GAGACAGTTGGTGCATCGGATCATCAATTATTTTTAAATCCCATCTTTGCACAGAGTCTGCTAAACCGTACAGAAATTTAATATCTTTATCTCCTTGAAAAAATGATATAAACACAGGGTAACACCACAAAAATCTTNATACTAATATAACTTAAAGAAAAATTTGTTTATTTTTGGTCTCGTGTTTCCCTATCCCTATTTACTCTATGTTAAAATGACCTCGTTTAACTCTGTTTGGCTTAGCTCTTTGTCGTCTAGGAACGCATCCCCCGCGTTAAGCGGGGTCTTACTGTATTTTATTCAGCAAAGTTTTACTTAATCTTTTGACAACGGCTGCTTTTGTATCGGAATGGGTCGAATAATGATTAATTTTAAATTTTTTACAAAAGATTTTTACCAATCTATTATAAAATAATTCTCCTTTATCAGTTCGTAAATTTTTCGGAACGTTTTTCTTTAAAAATGATTTGAAAAGCTTTAAAAAACCGAGTCGGGTTTTTTTTATCTTTTATTGGTACAACATAGCAATACTTAGTTTTGTTTGTTTGTTTGTTTAGTTATGGCAACCCAACACTCGGGCGATCTGCCTGGGGATGCCTACCGGGAGGTCTTTTTAAGGGAAACTGGCCCATATTTAGGCGTTACGGACGGGGAGAAAACCCGGAAAACTCCGCGTGGCCGGCCCGTCCGAGCCAGACGCGAATCCACCACAGAACTCCCAGTGTTCGGGGTACGAAGACCTCTTGGACACTGGTGGGCTCAATACTTAGTAAATACACTGATTATAGTTAGTAAATATTTTACTCCATTATTAAATGGAGTAAATTGTTTTAATGCGATTAAATCGGCCTGCCATAACTTTTACTTTTTCTTCGCGAATATTTAATTTTTACAGGTTTACCAAGCGTATAAGTCAGTTGAGACGATAACCATTTTTTAAGGACGGGTCGCAGTAAATTATATTTCTTTAAACTAATATACTCATACCACCAAAAGATTCTGGAGATTTACGATAATAGTATATCGATTTTAAAAGTTTTCCCATTTCATATTTTTCTTCCTCTTAGAATTTTTCCACCGGTGTCTCGGAGGGAAAATTTCTTCGGGAGTCTCGATCGGCGCGGGTTGATATTGTGATTTTTTGGGTAATGTTGCTAAAACGTTTGTTTCCAATCCACTCTTTGGGAATGTTTATTTTCTTTAAACTATCACAGAATTCGTTAAAACCAACAGGAGCCAATGCACTTCTATTTCGTATTACATAAGAAATTAAGTCTGTGTCGAGGTTTACCTTTAGAATTCCATCTATAATGACTTCGATTCAACTATCAATTAAATTTTTGATATAATTGAGGGACGGATAAAATTATTTGTTTAATAAATCCATCGTCAACAGCTTTTTCTTCGGGTTGAGATTCCGTTTTTTCAATTTTGTAGGACAAAACGGATACTCTAAAAGGGTCTTTAGGAACGTGACCGGTCTCTTATATCATGAAATCAATTTGACTTAATAAAAACTTGACTTTATCATCATCGGATAAATTAGTAGTCTCGAGTAATTCTTCGATATTAGAACCAATTCTTATTTCAGGCTTTTGATACGTCATCAATAGTTCGGGAGGAGCTAATGCCATCTGCTTCGCTATTACATTCTTTTTCCTATTACCTTATCAATCGAACCACCCGCCATAGACGAGAACGGACCCAACAGAAGTGGAAAAAGCGCACCACCAGATTGATTTACTATAAAGAGTTTCCCACTCAATTTCACGATAACATTTTTATATTTTCTTAACTTATGAACGTAGTCGTTTCCTCTTAACAAATTATCACATAATTCACATAAAACTTTGATTTGATGAGGAGGAGTTTCTTTCGGTATTGCTCTTCTCTGTATTCTTTGCTAAAAGTGCTAACTTGTGATAATTTTTCTTTACGTCCTTCACTTTATAGATACTGTACGTATATCCAAAAAATACCTTGTTTGTCAGGAAAACACGAATCTCTCCCAGAAAATTTCTTATCCGTTTTAGGATGAAAATCCAATAACAAGCAATTAAATTTCTTTTCTGTCGCTTTTTTATACGCATGAAAAAATTAAATTTTCTGGAAAAAGCTTAAGAACCCGAATAATTCACTCGACATTCATCACGATTATTTTAAAATAAAATCAAATAACGAATATTTAAACTTCTCTCTCTCGTAAGCTTATTTTTGGGAAACAAATTTTGCATTATTAAAATCACACATTACGGCGACGAGATTCGGTGGTAAAGAAAAATGCTGCTTTCGGAGACAGTTGGTGCATCGGATCATCAATTATTTTTAAATCCCATCTTTGCACAGAGTCTGCTAAACCGTACATAAATGTAATATCTTTATCTCCTTGAAAAAATAATACTGTATAAACACAGGGTAACACCACAAAAATCTTCTTAAGACGATTTTCATAAGTTTTGCGGAGAATAATTTTTCTTACCAATGTAGTTTTTCCGGATTGCGATAGGTTCGCAAGTACTCGGATGTTTAAAATACGTATCAATCAATGTTATCGACCTTAGGAAATTTAGAAAATTTATACTATTTTAATCCTGGACTTATCAGCTTGAACATGAATAAAAGTTTTTTGTTCTTTTATATATATTTCTTTTATGTCTTCTGCGCATGGTTCGAACGAATTGTATAATCCGTTACATACATCGTTAATTCCTCTGTCCTCGCCATCAATTATAAAACCATATTTTTTCCTCCCTTCCAAATTTCTTTGACTTTAAAATAGCGCAAGATACGGGAAAAATTGTCGGGAATGTCGAACGAAAAATTATTTATCGCAGAAATTCCAGAGATTCGTAAGAACCAGGAGAAACAGAATAATTTTTACACTCGATGTATTCCACAATTGAAGCTTTAATATGAAAAACTAATTCTCTTTTTTAAAACCAAGTAATGTATATAAAATACCAACCAATCGTATTTCTTAAAATGTAGAAAACAAAGACGTTAATGGGAAAGAAATGAACTACTTCGTAATACTTGATGATAAAATTAAATAAATTCGAAGAAGAAATTTCTATAGTAAAAGTAAAATGTACCCCAAAGTGTAACTAACTTGGACTTTGACCTAACTCTGGAAAAAGTTAGCCTCGTTAATTAGAATGTTTATCGGACTAATATCAGAAAAATCTGGAATACGAAAATTTTACAAAAAATTGCCTCAATGAAAGCGTGCTTCGAAAGAACATGTAAAAGCATAAAGATGGAAAGTTTCTACCCCAAGTGGGAAAAAAGCAATTGCTAAATTTCATTCTCACCACGCGGTAAAGGTGCCGTTAATCATTTTTATTCTATCGAATAATATAAATCGTTACGTAGACATTTCTTGTCGTAATTTTTAGGTTACGATTCGCATCTGATTTTCAAAAAATTCAGAAAAAATTACATTTACTTCAGATTATTTTAAATTTATTGACATATTCTGAAACTTAATACACAGTATTTGTAATTAAAACACATTCTTGCCTAAAAAATTTATAAAATGTAATTGTATTAATTATATAAATAAATATTTAGAAATTGTATTCTATATTAGGATATATTTTAGTACAAACACGTCGATTGGAAAAAAATGATGTACTTCGCGATATTTGTAACGTTCTCGATTATATGTTAGAAAAATTAAATAAATTCCAAGAAAAAACTTTAAACAAATCATATTTCTTAAAAATATATCTCAAAGTGTATCGAATCACTACTACTGCTAACATTAGAAAAAACGTTATAAGATAGCGATAGTATTTTGAATCGGTGTCTATTTTACAAATGAAATTGCGCTATTTCTTACCGTTCGATTATAATGATAAACGTGACAATGGTAGGCTAAAAAACCAAACTCAATTTTCGTTTTAATATTTATTATAGTACTTGATTTATATAACTACAAAGGTTATCTTAGATTCTTCGCTTGGTACGATAAACCCTTTTCTAATACATTTTCAAAATTCTTTATTCCTCTACTGTACATAATTTAAAGAATTTTTAAAATGTGTGACATTACGCACTTGGCGTTTAAAACCCTTACCTAAGATAACCTTCGTAGTTATGTTATATTATAATATTTGATTTATATAAGTTTTAGAAGTACGAAATAATGTAATAATCTTAATGTTTGTACTTATTTTTTGCCCGGGCAACTCCGGGCTTACCCGCTAATATCTAAAATTGTTTTATTCACCAGTCAACTTCTTAAAACTTAAATTCAGCGTTGTTCTTACCGCGCGTAACTTATCGTCACCGTAATTTATATAATAATTAATAAATAATTTTTTCCACAGTTATACTTTTCTTCGTTGCAAAATCGGTTGTACAAATGTCTGCTGGCGTAACCAGAGAAAAATGATGATTTTTTTTCACTCTAAGGCGCCACGTTTTTCAGGAATTATCTATTCGTTTCCGTTAGTTCCAAACCGTTAGTTCCGTTAGTACCTAACCGTAGATTAATTTTTGCCACGCGCCCGAAACTAAAATTCCGATTTAGAAAAATAAACATTTTCCCAGAAAATCGATTTTAAGACTCTCGGAATCTTAAATTAATTTATAAAATATAATAATCGGGAAGGAATTCTTCCTCCTCTGACAAGAAAGATGAGGATTAGTAGAAGAAAGTATGACGTCACAGGACGCGGAATTTCCTGCTACCTCGCTTCTTCCCTGTACTAATTTTGGAACGAAAACAATAAAAAGTGAACCAGCCATTATTTATTGTGACAATTATCATTTTGTCTCCGTTCGAAAGAAAATTTTTGAATTGAAAAACTTGATTTCCCGTCTATACAGGAAAGTCGTGTATAGTCGATCGGGGCCTCCTGTTCCTAAGATTTCTCTATCTGGTCTCGAAACTAACTCTTGTGAGTACGCCTACTGTCGGAGGGACGTTATTCCCACATTAGGATGGTCTAAGGCTTCGAGTATGTGGGTGGTGCGGAAAAGGCAAAGGCGACAAATGTCTTACAAAGCCTTTATTAAGCAAAAGTTGCGCTTACATCAGATATAGATAGTCCTTCGGGTAACAGACAAGCGTCTCGAATTTCCGGTCGATCCGGATTCAGTCTGCAAGGTTTGATAGTTGGGCAACCCCGGGACAGCGGCTAGTTGTTGTAAGTTCGATCAGGGTAAATCCGTAGAAACTTCGGAAGAAAGGCGACGCCACTGGGAGACGATGATGACGCTAAGAGAAGGATGACCATAATGATGACCGACATCCTTGAACATCTGATTTTTCATTCGTTCCAAAATCTTCCTTCAATTGGCTGGGCTTCCCTTTCCTCGCTACCCGATTAATCTCTCACCTGTCTCCGGGTGAAAATTGAGAGCAGTTCGGGTCGCGAGAAAGGTCTGCCCGAGATGGTATATCCGACACCATCCCTCGATTACCGACAAAACTAAGACACCCGCACTCATATTTTCACTCGTTATTTCCTTGATAGAGTTATAGAACGTTAATACTTTTTTCCCTTACATCGCTTGTTTGTCAAACCTCATTTCCCGATCGAGTTCCCTTCTCGCTATTGTATGCGAGCGATGGTGTCAAAGTCCAGCGTTGCAGACTGAAGCGTGTAAACTCGACACTTTGCGGAATCGGCTGTTTGTCTCCGCGTTGCATTAATTATTTATTACGAATTTTTATAAACCTTTTTAGGTTCGAACTCAATCTGGGGTCTCTCTCACTAAACTTCGAGAAATGCAAAAAATTCGGGTATTTCTATATGTGCAAATGTTAGTGCGCACGTGGGGTGAAATGGAACGATTCATTCCTTTTTTTTTCGATAATAAGCAACTGACTGCCTTTTAGTTTTACTTTTTTACGACAAAATTTCCAAAGAGATTATAAGAAAAACTTGCCTCGATTAATTTATCAGATAAACGTCTGTAATATTCCCGACTTTAACATAACTATGGGATCCGTTCTAAACGAAATCTATAGAAAACTGGTAAATATTTAACTAACACATTTGTACGGTGACGAATAAAACAGTATTTAGATCTTACATTTATTCGACAACAAAACCTTTGTTGATAAATACCAGGGTGTACAAATTATCGACATTTCAATTACCGGAAAATTATCGAAGACATTTTTCAATTACCTATTTTTACCGGTAATAGAAAAATGTTCCAGTCGAAACTTGACCATATCAGAGGCTCCATCTGCATTTACACCTAAGATATGGCGATTTAAAACTAATCCAAATTCATTTAATCGTTTCTTTACTATAAGGGCGATTTTCTTATTATTTAAATAACCCGAAATATGTACTAATCTTAGAGACCAATGTCTCGGTAAATGCGCACATAGGTAGCCCCTATGGCGGCACTTTCGGTCGCCATCTTGTTTGTGGACGTCGCCTTGGCAAACAAGATGGCGAACGGCGCGGCTACTTACTACACCGGCATTTAAAGAAAAAAAAAATCTTTCACTCACCGTTGACATATTCTAATTCCTTTTCTCCGATTGTTCGGTAAAAAAAACGGTTCGGACGATTCTTTCGTAACTTCGTCCTTTTTCATAGTAGAAACTTTTTCCTTATTCTTAACACACACGTCTACGTTCTTCCTCTTACGATTTTCGGATTTATTGGCACTTACTTTCGGGGCTGAAGGTACAATAACTGGCTCTTTCCAAACTAAAACACCTCACGCTCCTGGATAGAACTTACTCGTATGCCGAACAAACAGGTCGAACCGTTCTCCTAGTTTTTTTCTTTTGGTCACGACAATCTCGTCGATTTTCGACAACCTTCCAAGGTTCATCCAATTTTCATTCCAGTAAAATTAGACTACGAAACCATCATAATGTGTCGTATGAAATTCACTCAGTCAACAGCTGTTCGACTACTCACACCCACAGCCAAACGGATGACGCGCGACGTTTATTCTATGCAAATTAGATGCCAAATAAAGGAAAAAGTAGTTCCCCGAGAAGTTTCCCCAAATTTACGTTTAAAAATTACTTCAAACGACGAACTGTTCGTCTTGAAACAGAATCACGGTTCTTTCGATAATTTAATTTACGAAGACCATCACATTTCGAACGATCTGCATCTGCGGGTCGCGTACCAAACTTTACCAACTGATGAAATTCTCTTGTCAAAATTAAATTCGGGATATTCGATATTAAAAAATGAAAAAATCCCTCCAAGTACACTTTTGCCAAGAAAATCGTTGACGTTTTCCAAAATCCGCCATTACAACAATAAACGACAATATCAAATGTAAACTTGGAAAAAAATGATTCGCACAATACATAACTTTTTGAACTCGAATAATTAAATTATTCTTAACGAAGTTATAAAATGTTAGGAAATTAATCTAGAATTTAAATGAAATTAGAAATCTCGTAAACTAAAGACAGTGACACCTAAATTAACTTTCGAATCGCGTGTGTTGTCCACATTCCGGAAGTGTCGCCGTAGAGGCTACCTAAAAAATCGTTCTAAAGTAGTTTCATTCATGTTAAAGTTTATTCTTACAATTTATTTGATTGAATTCTGTGTAAATGTTAATAATTGTCAAAAAAGTTTCGATTATTATTCTCGTTAGTCAAAATTTTTACTATAATAAACGGTCCGCGGCCACCCGGTGAGGAACCGCACCCCAGTAACGGCTCCGACTGTAACAACAGTCGGGTTACACAGGCGTGAAGACTTTGTATCTCGATTGTATCCATTAAACGCTGTCACTGTACGAAAATCATTCGATATGCCAAAAGAAGATCGCATCTAATGAACAATTAAAGCTCCCGAAAAACGAAAAGAGGGGTGGACGTTCGTTGATCAGTCCAAAGTGAACTTTGAACAAATGCGACTAAACAAAGATCGTCACCACCATCGTTTAAAAAAGATCCTGTAAACGAAAAACGAAAGAAAATTCTGTAGATACGTACGTATGCGTATGACTGGCTGTTCTTTTATTAAACTCTTTCCGCCCAGTGGGCGCGAAGGGGGCCTCTATTTTAGCACGCCGGTTATGGGTTCGGATAGGTCCACAATAAGGCGGCCGGGTGGTGACGAACTAGCCCGAAGTATTTCAACGGATCACCCCCCAAAAATTCTTGGAGTTTTATCGACCCATCCCGATTCAATCCCGGGTCCCCAGAGCGGTATGCCACCTCGACCGCTCGGCTATACGTGCGTAGGAGGGGTCTATTTTTTTAGTATTTCAATATAGGGTAGAGTAAGAAACGAAATTTGGCACGGTAAAATGCTATACATATATAGGGCATTGATGAAATTAAATTTTGCTGGTTATAGGTCGAGGAGTGGGAAGATAGACGTGTTCACGTGTCATATCTCGATAGGGGTCGAACTTAATGAAAATTTCATTGGTTATTAGCAGTTACAATTTCTTTTTTATAAAATCCGTGTCTATCCTCAAAATTTAGACTTTTGTATTGATATTTTATAATAATTAAAAAGTTAATTATTTTAAAATAAAATCTCATAATAGATGCCGCCGCACACTATTTTATTTTAAATAATTACGAGCCAAAATAATATGCATCTAGTAGAGTTAGATTTTGTCTAGGAAATTTTCTACAGAGGAGGCAAAGCCTGAAGTTACGTACATTTTGGCGAATGGTATCCGACAAATAGCGTGTTGCAATTTTTCCTGGTGAAGCGAGGAAAGTTACGCAACTCGTTGCTGGACTTTTTCTGTTTAATATAATTTAGGTGTTATAATGTTTTAATTGTGAAAAAATTCAATAACATTTCGTGCTATAATTTTATATTCGTTAAGTTTTAATTTAGTTCTGATTTAATTGTCTTTTGTTTCCTATTGAAATTCTTTAAATGAGTTTAAAAATAACGTTTGAAATTGAATTTTTGTTCCTGAATTAATGCCTAGAATCTTTGCATTCGCAAAGACACACAAAGAGAAGGAAATCAGACCAATGGAAAAATGTAAGGCACCAACATACAGTCGACCCCCTATAAGACTCTTGATAATTCCGTTTTATATGAATTCCATGTTGTACGAGTCACTTAGATTTTACAAATACGTCAGCCGTTCACAGCCCGGCACACGTATTTGTAAAATCGGACTCGTACAACATGGAATTCATATAAAACGGAATTATCAACAGTGTTGTAGGGGGTCGACTGTATATACTAGAGAAGCGCTTAAAATGTACATTTCTGAGAAACTAGAACAAAATAATTATGTCGCTCACCATCCAAATAAGGTGGCGAAAGAATTGCAAGACTTGCCTTTAATGAAGGATGAAATAGGGACTGTGATGGATTTTGAAAGTCTATAACCCATCTATTAATCTAGTATCTCGTTTCAATGCACTCGTTGAATTCATGGTCCAAGGCAATCCAGTGTTATCGACTTACTCGGAGGACTTAAATAATCTAGCAGACTCGATGCGCTACCAATCTTTTTTTAGATTCAACGAGATGACGCGTGAACAAAAGAAAAGTGTCTCAACGGAGAGTCCTATGTCAGAGAACTAGTACTACGTAAACTGGAAACAGACATCTTCAGAGATTACTTCGAGGACATTGTATTCTACAAACGTTACGTCGATGACGTATTTATAATTTGGAAGGATAACCGACGAATTGAAGAAATTTACTGGCAATCAGTACCAATGGTCACTGCTTAAAACTAAAACTAGAACCAAAAAAACTATACTTATCTCATTTTTGGACATTGATATAAGATTTAAACAAGGAAATGTACAAACGGCGGTGTACTTAAAACCTTCTCTACATACCATTGGTCCAGCGACCCGTATAAATATAAATTATCAGTATTTAAGGCACTCGTCGGAAGAGCGTTTTTATATTGTACCAACGTTCGGGACCGCCTCGAGGAAATTAGTAGAATGAAAAAAATTGCAACAAATTTGGGTTACAAAACCGCCACAATTGAAGGACCGATCAAAAGTTACAGAGAAGATAAAGGCAAAAAAGATATTTAATTAGACGGAATTAACAAATTCACATACAATAAGCGTATAAGAGCGACAAATGAATTGGTTACTTATAAACACTCGAGAATGGTCTATAAAAGAGCACCCGACATCTATAGCTTACTGAGGAACGATAAAGACGGCGTAAGAAAGGAAGAGAAAGCCGGAGTTTATAAAATACCATTTGAGAACCAATAGTTAGAAGTGGCAAAGGATTATGCGGGCGCGACCGGAAGAAACCCGGCGGTACGTCCGCGAGAACACAAATACAACGTGGATAAAGGGCGCAAGAACACAATATTAGCGATTACGGCGCAGATCGAAGGAGCGATGGTAAAATGGGACGAGGCAAAAGTCATTAAAACGGTCCACTCCGCATTCATCGCGTTGGAAATGGAAATTTATAAAAGTAAAATGAAAAATCGTTGCCTAAATGCCAAGGATGCTAATGCGCTTCCAACGGCGTGGAAGTATATGATAGAAAAGAGCGCGAGACTTAACCCTTAAAGCTTGTAATAGTTATTCTTAACCTCGTTTACTGTTTTATTTATTTTATGTTATTTTTTATTTTCGTTTATTTATTTATCTTTTCATTTATTTTAAATTTAAAAGGAAACGTATTCGAAAAACGAAACGCTCCATTTTGGAACGGTTTAATCTTAAGCCACAAGACGGCCTACATTGAGTAGGTCGAAAACGTTAAAAAATAATAATTTATGCTCGGCAAAAAATTCAGGTGTTTCGATATAATTAGTTGTATTTGCCGAGAAAGCGGTGGATAGTAATTTACGTCGACAGATATACAAAACCGTAATTTACTTTGAAATAAAATCACGAATAAAAACTTCATTCTCGTGCGTACAAACTCCAGGGAAAAAAAATATTCCGCGTATATGTGTGTTAGCGTCTATAAGAAACGAAATTTGGCACGATAGCATTGATACTAGTATCTACATTTTGGTAGTTAAAGATTAAAGGAGAGGGGAGATAGAAAGATCTCTCCATAAAGAATACTATTTCGAGTATGATTCGGTTCTTTTGTTCTTTGAATTAAATTATATACGATTATTTGTGTAGAATTTGCGTTAAATTTATTATCCTTTCCTCTTTGTTCTGACGTTAGTTATTTCGGTTAATCGCGTCGAACTTTCCGCCGTTAAAACACCACGCCATTGTATTTTCTCACGTGACTACCGGACGAACCGTTATTGGCAGATAGAGACGCGTCTTGGCGGCGGTCGCCGCCAAAGACAGAATTCGACCAACTTTTGCGGCGCGAGAAAAACGGCGCAAAATCGACTTCCGCGACGAGAAAAAGTGACGTCATTCTGCCGCTTTTCCTTTCCGCGCCGCGTGTGTGCATCCTCCTTTAAGGATTACCCTGAACTTAGATTTTACTGTACTATTTTAGATGCGGTTCTTTTGCGTTTTTGAGGAAAATCGAACATATTTTTAAACTCATCTAAATATTCTGTAATTAGCCTCGGAAGAAAGGGAGACCTAATTCTTGCACCCGATGAAAACGTCACACGGTGGAGTCATAGATACCGTGTTTCCCCGAAAATAAGACAGTGTCTTATATTAATTTTTGCTCTGAAAAGTGCGCTAGGTCTTATTTCCAGGGAATGTCTTATTTTTTCCAGGAAGAAGAATTCACATTTATTATTGAACAAAAAAATTCCCAAGTCGAACTTAGACGAGAGTGACGTATATCCGGTGTGTCGAACTGTCGCCTTTTTATAGCGTCAACATCGGACTCGATGACCAATTAGTGCTTACTGAACCGTAGCACTATGCAAATGTCATGTGGCGTGATTCCCGGCCGACCAATTAGCCATCACCAGCCGTAACGTTATGCAAATCTGTGATTCCCAAGCCATAGTCTTATGCAAATCATGCCGTGTGGCGTAATTGTCTGCTGACCAATCAGTGGCTGTACTTTCAAAAAGCCAACGGCCACTTTCAACCATCTGTCGATGACCGTTACGACTAAAAAAAACTTCGCTAGGTCTTACTTTCAGGGGGAGGTCTTATATTTCGCAATTCAGCAAAATCTGTGCTAGGTCTTATTTTCTGCGGATGTCTTATTTTCGGGGAAACACGGTATGTAAACTTGGCAGAAATTCAGTTGCGTATATTTTTCGTATTTTAATTTGACCGGATTTCACGAATATTGTTAGCGTACGAAGCCATAGTTACTACTTTCTCACACGGTTGAAATCGTAATTTTTGGGCATTTCTCCTCATGCCGTGTTCCTCTTTATTTCGAAAATTGTGTTAAACATAGAAAGGAATGAAAAGAGCGCTTAGGCTATAACTTTCCCTAAAAAAGTACGGGTTGCCTGTAAATAAAAAAAAAATAAACAAGAGCTCATTTTCTATAATAATATTCGGTGGATCCGAAAGAAAGACCTTATCAACAGCGAAGTCCGACATCCGTGGCAAAAACGCGCTTCTCTGTTTTTGGTGAGACCGAGAAGGTGTAGTCTATCGCGAGTTGCCGCAACCGGGTCAGACAGTGAGCAGCGTAAAAAATTAGCAGACGTTTTGCGGGGGAGGCGACCGAAATAGTCACGAAACCAACGAAAACTCATTTTGCAGCATGACAATGCGCGGTCTCCTGGTGCAGCGGCAAACCCTTCTGGAGCTGGGCCGAGAAGTGTTACCAAACCCAGCGTACTCACCGGACCCTTCCGACTATCACCCGTTCCGGTCGATGCAGCGTGGTTTGTCTGGCAAACACTTCACCAATCTCATAAATGCACAAAAGTGGGTTAGCGACTTCTTCGGCTCAAAACTAGCAAACTTCTACCACCGTGGTATCCATTTGCTGCCAGAACGTTGGCAGAAAACTAAACAATGTCCGCAATGGAAACTATTTTGAATAAATCGTGTTGTTGTATTATTCAGTCGTTGTTTTGTCTCCGTTGAGACGAATACCGGCAACGTCCACCTTCCATTTTTTTAACCAAAGGAAAACAGCAGCCGAAGCCAAAAGAATTTTGTGCGACACCTATTATTAGGAAGTTGTGTCGGTAAGCGAGTGTGAAAAGTAATACAGACGCTTCCGTAGTGGCGATTTCAATGTTGACGATCGACCGAGATCGTGTCTCTCCGAGGAAACTGTTGACGGGGCGCCCAAAGACAACATTTAATGAAGATTCCAGCGAAGATTGAATTTCAATTAAGAAGATAGTTTAAATGACCGTAAAATCTACTGTAATATACGTTTGGCTCGATTGTATATAAGCATTGTTTTCGATTAGAAATGGCACCAAAATATTTATTGCATTAAACAATACAAAAGACGTTCCGTGTACAAGTTAACTAATCGCCTCTTAGTTATCGACTAAAGCATAATTAGAAGTTATAATTTCATTCAAGAAATATGTCGGAAACTTTCCACAGCGATAACATTTTTGTTTCACTCAATTTGTCTATAAATTTTTCTCTTAATCTCTTCTTTTGGTCTTCCGTAAAATAATCATCCCACTGACCTATCTTTCCCGAGTGAAAAAAGTCGATTTTCTTCAAGCTTTTTTCGTCAGCGTACGATGAATTTGACAATTTCAAAGGTAAATTTTGTTTCATTTGGTCAAATTGGATTCTTCCGAGAATACTCTCAAATATTTCTCGGTTGTTCGTCAACATTTCGTGATATTCTTGGCCTAGAAATTGCGCCATCTTCAGAACCACCTCCCCAGTGTTTCTATTCATTTCTTCGTAAGTCATAAACAGGAAATTGGGGTCGTTCCAACGGGCGTACCACGATAACAAATGATCGAAATAATCTCCGTGCGACACTTCGCCTCGGATGAAACACTCGAAGTAATCCGCGAATGTCCCGTCGGAAAAATTTTCGTCTACCTGTTTGAACATGTTAAATGCGGACACGCACGAGTCCCAGGGATTGCGATATACGTAAATATATTTCGAAGAGGGATTGTACGGTGTGAGGTTAAAGGGCAAGTTGACTTTGAGCAGACGAGGGCTTCTCGAGTTTTCTATTCCTTCTACACCGGTCATCTCCAAATGAGGGACTTCCCGTAGCCACATCCGGTTGACGTCGGGTAAGGCAGCGCCTTTGTTGACGATGGACCAGACGATATACTGCGTCCAAGTGGTGCCCGATTTAGGATATCCCGCCACGAAAATGTCGTCGTCTCTGGGTTTGAAGTCGATGGTTCGTTGCAAATTTTCTACTCGAAACCGAGGTGATATTAGAAATCCATTTATGTTCTGTACCGTTACCTTTTTTCTCGTATCCTTCTCCATTTTCTCTAAACAATGTCTGCAATGGAAAATAATCGTTCGTCATAAAAATAATTTTACATTATATGCTTCACCTTAAGTTTATCGAGAACGCCGAACTAAGTGTGGAATTAATATCGGAAAAACGGTCGTATAATTTAGAAAGTTTGTGTTCGTCGCGCACCTAAGTCGAATGCATCGTGGCAATAACAAAAATCAAAAGCACTCACGAAAGCTTACGTGGATAGTTTGAAATGTATTACAGATTAATCGGTTATTATAAAATGTCGTATATAATGTCTTTTAAGTTATTATATAGATAATAGGCCTATATAATAAAGACACAAAGCAGAAAAAATATATAATAATGATATAAATACTATAATAGTGTGGTTGAGATTACGGGATGATTTTAATTTATTGTTTAAACACTGATTATTGAGACCCGAGTGAACAATTACTGCTTTTAAGAAAGATGTTTTATTCAATGACACACTTCGTTGTACGACACGCAGTTCGTCTAAATTAGCCTACTAGTTAGGGCCTCTTCTAAGTTAAAATGCATAAAAGTTACAATTATATTTATAAATTATTCTAAGGGTTAGTTTTACATAAATTTTATCGTATTACTTACATCTAAACCGTTCACATATTTTTAAAAAATTTGTTTCATGCTTAATTTTTTATTATTTTATTAATAATGTTTTCAGTTCCTTTATATATACCTGTATTAGGTNCATCCCAAGTGCCCATGCCGACAGGTGTCTTTGCCGGCACTTGCTGCAAGTGGGAAGGCCAGGTAAGCCATACCTGACTCAGCTAGTACACTCTCCAGCTTTCAGCCAGAGCTGCTCTAGCCAAGCTTTGCTTGGCAAGTTCTGACCCCTCCAGGACCCTTATAGGCTTCTGACGTGGGCTTCTGCGGTGTGCTCTAAGTTTTTGCTCCATCTTTCGGCCATTTCTGGAACAATCCACTTCAAACTTGGACATCATCATCTCCAGGAATACCCCTTTAGGCGTACATGGCGGCATCACCCTACATCAAACGGTTGTGAAGTGCAGTGGTTTCGTGACATCTCCCTAGACATGCCTTCGACCATTTTGGATCGTTGACTTGCTGACTGTAGTTGGACCCACCAGCACCTGTGATTTACTGGACAGCTTCGCTCCCAGCTTTTTTTTGGCTTCGACAACATACTCAACTGCTCTTCTGTTTAGTATTGCATTGTATAGTTTTATGTATTAATTTAGTTTTAACTTAATTAGTTTTAAACTTTCTCTTCACTCTGAGCGATCAAGTTCACGCTTTTTTGTTCAGAGTTGTTGGAACTGAGTTCCTCTTTTCATTCCGTCCCTTCCGCTGTGGGTTGGGATAGGCAATATCATTATACACAAGTGGAAACATTTCATTTTTGGTTGGTCTATTAATCTAATATGGATACGACAAGTCTCGACCCTCGGGTCAACGTGACTCACTTAGAAGACGAGACAGAGGAAGTAAACCAGACTATAAATCAGACTATCGATTGTAGCAGCTCAGAGGAGATAGAAAATACGTTAATTAGAGATGCTAATACTATGCTGGACGTTATAATGGAGGTATGTCCCGAACACACCAGCACAAACATCAAACAGAAAGAGAGAAAGAAGATCAGGGAATACGCTGCAAAAATGTATGGCTACCTCCATGAGATGTTTGCCATCGTAAAAGAAACAAGAAAGCAAATGAAGAAGGTAATTAACAACAGATCTCAACAAGTATTACAACAAACTTTCCAACAAACAACATACAGCGACATTTTGAAAAGAACTATCAAACCGAGCACCACAACTAAGAATATTCAAAAATCTTTGCATCAAAAAATAAATTTGGAGGGAACTGGGGGCTCACATGCCGTGTTGGTGTATCCAAAGGAACAAGTCGAAGGAGAGGAACAAACAAATATGGAACAGGTGACAGAAGTATTAAAGAGAAAAATCGAGCCACATAAACTAAAAATTAAGATAAAAACAGTCAAAGAAATAAAAGATAAGGGAATTTGTATTAGAGTGGGAGATAGAGATCAGAGTATTACACTTGAAAAAGCTATTAAGGAAATCCAAGAACTAGATAATAAGATCACTTGCAAACGCTCTGAGGGAAAAAGACCCAGAGTAATACTGTTGAATGTACCCCAATCTATTCAAGAGGAAAACATAGCTACATACATCTATAGGCAAAATGACATATGGGGAGAGCTAGACGAAGAGGCATTTAAAAATGAGTGCAGGATTAGCACGGTGTTAAACAAGGGAAAACACACTGAAAATTGTAGGCATGTTGTCCTATCCGTGTCACCCCAAATCCGTAATGCTTTCATTAAGGAAAAACACATCTCAATCAATTGGGCTACAATCAAAACTGACGATTACATTCCAATAATAAGATGTTACCGCTGCTGCGATATCGGACACATTGCCAAGAGCTGTGAAAAAGAACAACAATGCTCCCACTGTGGAAAGAATCATAAATATGTGGATTGTGATAGGCTTAATGAACCACCCTGTTGTATTAATTGCCACAGAAACAACAAAGACGTACCCAACAACAAGAAACAGCCGACAAACCATGGGGCATTACATCCAAATTGCCCAATCACAAAAAGACTAAAAGAAGCAGCAATCAAGAGGACCGATTATGGGTTGTAACGACACAAGGATGAATACCCAGATATCAACTTCAACACAGCATTCTCAATTGAATGACCACACTTTAAATATACTACAAATTAACACTCAGAGATGTAAGGCGGCATGCTCTCAGTTAATACATACAGCCAACGAGAAAAATATTGACTTAATTACCATTCAGGAACCCTACTATATCAATAATAACATTGTAAGATTCGGAAGGTGGAAGGTGATCTCTGGAAATAAAAACTCAAGACCTAAAAGTGGCATAATCTGCTGCAATCCACACCTCGATATTGCCAAGATCTCGCAGTTGTGTACAAACAGACTCACCACCATAATCCTTCAACTTGCAGAACCTATTATAATTATAAGCGCCTACTTTCCACCGGATGACGATGACGAGGAATGTGTCAGAGAACTCTCCAACGTTATTAGGAAACTTAGAAATCAGAAAATAATGATAATGGGTGACCTGAATGGAAAGTCACCAGTATGGTATCACGAAAAAGAAGATAAAAGGGGCAGAATGATTACCGAGATGATGGATGAACTTAGCCTAATTTCCACTAACATGACGACGCACCCAACGTTCTACACTCCTTTTGCAAAAGGTTGGACGGATGTGTGCCTTGTTACTGACAACTTGTCCCATGAAATTGAAAACTGTGAGACCCTTCTTATACCATCTGCAAGTGACCATCGTTTTATTTTCACTCAATTAAAGCACGACAACTTTACAATAAATACTATGAAGAATTCCTTTCAAATTAAGCAGACCAACTGGTCACTCTTTAGGCAAGAGTTTGCAGAGAATTGGCATAACTACGATTTTCCATCTATAAACAATCATGAGGACATGGACAGGTATGCAAGATTTTTTACAGACGCTTTGACTGCAGCAGGAGAGAGAGCTCTTCGTTATAAACAGGTACCACCGAGGAAAACACAATGGTGGGATGATTCCTTAAACAATAAAAGAAAAGAGGTTAATAGAATGAGGAAGAAATACACAAGGGCTAAAAATACCAATGAGGAACAAATCTATAAAATCAGATACAAAACTATTCTGAAGCAGTATAAAAAACTTATTAACAAGACTCGCACGGACTCTTGGAGAAGATTCTGTACGGAATCCAACAAGAATGGTCCATGGGACCTTCCTTATAACTTAGTGATTAAAAAACGGAAAAAACCCTTCATCCCGGATATCACAGACTCAGACAGTGATACCGACATAATCACGGACATCGGAAACAACATCACTCAAATACTGGACTATCACTTTCCGGAGGATAGACAAGACACCGATACTATGAAACAAAAGACCACCAGAAGAAATCTCCAAAGACCTTATAACAACAAGAACGACAGAATATTTACATTTAGGGAAGTGGAGAGGGCCATTAAATCCATGGCAAACAAGAAGACACCGGGCATTGATGGGATAACAACAGAAATGCTCAAGGAAGCCTTTAAGGAAATACCCATTGCCTTTGTACATATTCTGAATAAATGTCTCACTACAGGATACTTTCCAAATGACTGGAAAATTGCAGATATAAGACTCATTCCTAAAATTGACAACCCCAGAAAACCGGAGAATTACAGACCCATAAGCCTGCTGCCCACAATGGGTAAGCTTCTTGATGGCCTTATGATGGAACGAATAAATTGGCATCTCTTTAATACTAACCAGCTAAACGACAATCAGTTCGGTTTCAGACCCGGAAAATCAACAATTGAGGCAGCACTAAGAACCAAAAAAGTGATACATGAGGGCTGGAATGATAATAAACATACTTTATTAGTAAAAATTGACTTTCACAAAGCTTTTGACCACTTGTGGTGGCCGAGCATTTTAAACAGATTACGTAAGACAAACTGCCCAGCAAATATTTTCTATCTTGCACAGGACTACTTGAATAACAGAGTGATTAAATATAAGGCCAATAGCTTCACCATCACCAGGCACACTAATAAGGGTTGCCCCCAGGGCTCGCGAAGCGGCCCTGGACTCTGGAATCTGGTTTGTGATGATCTGCTTAAACTAATGGAAGGGAATCAAAATACCACCACTCAAGCTTTCGCAGATGACCTCCTGTTGATGGTGACACATCAAAATGTTGACAAACTAGAGGCAATCACAAACAACCAATTGGAAAAAATTTTTGACTGGAGTCGTGAAAATAAACTCCCAATTAATTATGAGAAAACAATCGCTATGGTATGCACCCGGAGGAACAAACGCAATAGATTAAAACGGCCTCCTAGAATTTTTATAAACAGGAATAAGATAAAGATGGAACAGGAAATAAACTACCTGGGTATAGTGTTTGATGACAAATTAAATTGGCATACGCATGTCCGTGTTGTATGCAGACATATGGAACAAAAAGCGAATGCTCTAAATTGGATAACTGCAAAAGCATGGGGCCTCAACTATACTAACACTAAATCCATCTATGAAGCGGCTGTGGAACCTGCAATGCTTTATGCGGTGCAGGTATGGAAGGAGGCACTTAATAATACTCATATGAGAAGGAAGTTAACGTCTGTCCAGAGAAAATTTACCATAAAAATTTGCAAAGCATACAACACCGCCCCTACTAATGCTTTACTGGTTATGGCTGACCTCCTACCGATCCATCTTAAGGCCAAATATCTAATTTGGAGTTGGCATCTAACTACAGCAGAGAATCAGATTGGTCATCACATCCCGGAAGAGGACAATATCTACACTGACATAAATAAGAATAACACTATCATTGATGTAAACAAAAAAGACTACGGCATAGATAGAAAGCTTAAGAAAAACGAATACCTCAAGCACCCAGCGGAAGAATTAAATTACAACATTCAATGGGATGAAAAAAACGATGAAGAAATTAAAGCGGCATGGAAGATATACACAGACGGTTCAAGGAATGCTAACGGAACTGGTGCAGGTTTAACAGTTATAAACTCGAAGAATAGAACAACATATCAGTGCTATTACAAGTTAGCACCGCATTGTACCAACTCCCAAGCAGAGTTACTTGCAATTTTAAAGGCTATTCAACACATTGACAATAACATTGACAAATTTAAAGGAAGCATTTATATATTGACCGACAGCAAAACTTCTCTATATAGTCTTAACAACATGAACCGACCAACTACCTTAACAAAAAAACTACTTGAGGCCGCTAAGATTTTAGGCTCCAAAAGGCAGATAACCTTTGCCTGGATACGAGGCCATAGCGGGAATGATGGCAATGATACCGCAGACAAGCTGGCCAAATTAGGTGCCAATGCTAACATCAAGCCTTCTTTCACTGGCACTCCGGAGGTTACTCTAAAAAAGTATCTGCTCTCGATCATTAACACAATATGGCAGAGTGAATGGAAGACTGCAGATACAGGAAGAAACTGCTTCCAATTTATTCCATCGGTCACAATTCGTAAGCAAGCTAAACATTACAGGCCAAACAAACTCACCACCCAGGTAATTCTAGGCCATGGGAACTTCCCAGCCTACTTGCATAGATTCAACCTAAGGGAAGATAATAAGTGTGACTGTAACAACATTGACATTGGCGACGCCGTACACTTTGCCTTCAATTGTACTAAATACGATAATCAACGTTCTGAACTTTTACATAACTATCTTCTAAAGAACCCAAGTTGGCCACCAACTGCAGAGAACATCTTTAAGGATAAAAAGCTTTGGAAAACTTTTGAAGACTATATTCACAAGACCGATGCACTAAAAGAAAAATTTAATAGAAAGGACGACGAACAGAACTTAGAAGAAGAAAACAACACGGATGACTATACATCAGATGATGAATCTTTCTAATTGGGGAACGCCACGGCCCCCCTTTACCACGTTGCTCCACTCTCGGTTCCATTGTTGTAAACAACTCTATGTTTTGATGTTACCAGGAGCAACCATCTTGGACTCTATTTTTATGTCAAAGCGACCGGAAGTCTGCAATGTATATATTGTAAATAGTTTTTTACATTTTGATTTTTCTGTACTTACCTTTTATACTCATTTGTACTCAATTTTATTTTTTTATTTTTTGCTTGTCCTTTTATCCCAATTATTGCCGATGCAGGCGCTCTCTGGTCCCACGCCTTCCCTTCAAGCTATCCTTTCATACTTTATTTCATACTTCACACCCCATGCTTTCCCTTCTTTCCATTTTCAACAGGGCATAAGTCTGTGGCAAACAGACAGCCCTCTTAACTCTTTATTAGAATGTAGAATTTGAAGCACTACTACCCTTAAGCCAAAGTACATGTACTCAATCAAAACATATAAAACTTATATACTTGGATAATTTAAATCAAATGTGTAATGAGATACAATACACTGAAATTGTAAACACACTGAAAAGTCTAACATTGGCTTTCAATCTACTGCATTGTGAAATAAATGTTGTGAATATCATGAAAGTCGTGTGATGTTCTAGTTCTAATTATAGCTGAACTTGATTATAATGACATTCAAAGGACCATCTTATTTATGTCATTATAACTGGGCTTAAGTTATAGCTGGGTTCTAATGTTTCTGAGCTAAGCATGTAAAAATACAGTATGACAACTGTATGCATTAATGCACTTATACTTTATTACACTACACATTATACATTACACATTCATTGCTTTTAATGCTTAAAAACGTCAGTAATTTTGCTTTGAGTCTTTGGCATTTTTCAATACATGTTATTTAAATCATTCTGGAGATGGGAAAAGAATAGCAAATATCATGTCTTCTGTTTGGGAAGAAGGTTTGAAGAATCAAGTTTTTTTTTAAGTGGAAATTGTTTCATTTAGCATAGGAACAGGTTTCAAATTTACAAACTCTTTATAGTTATCATAACCATTTTCCATATCATCATAATTGCTAGCTTCCTCTTGCACTTCCACTAAGATATCAGCATCAGAGTTTGTTGCACTGGTTATAATGTCATTGTTTGAATATATTGTTGCATCTCCCTCTGCATTTGAGATAATTTCAGTATTGATCTCATCGTACCATTCAGGTTCTTTGGAGTCCAAGCTTGTAGCTGCNATGCAACAGTTAAATCTCGAACACGCGTGCCACCTTCATATTTCTCAACAATCTCTTTTTTCAGTTCCATTGTCATTTTTTTATTTTTCTGTTGCCTTTTTGCAATTCATGATTAATAAAAATAATAAAATGTTACTTACAAATTAAAATCAGAAGAAATTTAACAAAGTTATAAACCGTGGCATCGCGAACGTCTAATCTGGTCTAGTACACCGATAGTGCTACTTGTTCATAGATGGCGCTTATAATTGAATTAAGTCGTATACCGAACAAAAGTCGTATACCGAGCAAAATTTGTTTCGTCCAAACAGGACGTATTCCGAATTGGACGTATTCTAAAGTAGACGTATACCGAGGTTCCACTGTATATATATATATATATATACATATATATAAACAGCTTACAGATTATCAGGTGATTGTATCTTGTTTCTTGTGTGCATTTATGAAGTCTGCCATGATCTAGTATTGCACTATAGAAGTTTTGGCAACTTCAATTTTTATTCTCCATGTTAAGAAAATTATACAGTGGTACCTCGGTATACGTCTGCTTTAGAATACGTCCAGTTCGGAATACGTCCTGTTTGGACGAAACAAATTTTGCTCGGTATACGACTTAATTCAATTATATGCGCCATCTATGAACGAGTAGCACTATCGGTGTACTAGATCAGACTAGATGTTTGTGATGCCACAGTTTATAACTTTGTTAAATTTCTTCTGATTTTAATTTGTAAGTAAAATTTTATTATTTTTATTCATCGTGAATTGCAAAAAGGCAAATGAAAAGCAACAGAAAACTAAAAAAATTACTAGAATCACAATGGAACTGAAAAAAGAGATTGTTGAGAAATATGAAGGTGGCACGCATGTTCGAGATTTAACTGTTGCCTACCGTATTCCGAGAAGGACGATATTGACAATCGCGAAAAATAAAAACATTATTAAATCTGCTAATGTTGCGAAAGGGGTTAAATCAATTTCTAAACAGAGATTGAAGACATTAGATCATGTTGAGAAATTGCTTTTACTTTGGATAACTGAAAAACAGTGTGCTGGAGACAGTGTATCGGAAGCAATTATTTGCGAGAAAGCTAAAATGATACACGCTGATCTCGTGAAAAATCAAGCAGGAACTAGCCAGGAAAGTGAAGTGTTTAAAGCCAGCCTTTTTTTTTTTTTTTTTGTTACATGAGAATGGATTAATCAATTTTACATTACTTCTTATGGGAAAGGTTGGTTCGGTATATGTCCTATTCAGTGTAAGTCCAAACATCAGGAACGGATTAAGATCGTATTCTGAGTTTCCACTGTATTTATAAAAATAGATGAAACTCCACTTAAGATTAACTGCTGTGACTCCGCATGGTGCTATTGTCACATGATTAAAATGGGAAGAAATGATTCTCCTTGCCAATTGGTTGATTTCCATTATTGGTGACACACATATGATGTTTCAATTTGTGTGTTCATCTGAAAGTGAATGATTGTGTATAGTCTAACAAGAATGGTAAAGGTGTAGTTGAGTATCACTGTAGGTGATACATTTGTTAGAAGTGATTGTTGATGTTAAGTAGCCGAAACCTTTCCACAGCAACAACTGTTGTGTTCAGTATCACCTCCCTGGAGTCAAAAAAATTTTCTCAAAGAGCTGTATATAGCTCTGGATAGTAAATTGTGGACCTTAGATAATCAAAAACATGTTTTTTATTTATTTTTTTTATCTAAGGAAAGAAATTCAAGAATAATTTTCATTTTTTTTTAATTTAAAAAATACCTATTCAAAGCATTATAAGTATAATATGTATTTAAAATATTAATTTTAACATTTTAATTAAAAACAGAACTTTTAAAAAACATGCTTAACTTTTATTTTCAAGGGCAGCTTGTTTGACATATAATATTTTGACATTTAAAAGACTAATTGATAGAGAAGAATTACCTCCTTTCGTATTAAGGAATACAGTACCAACATGTATGGCCCAATATGAACGATTATTTTCTACAGTAAGGTAAGATATTTCTGTTGATATTTATTTACTCAACTATTGTAAATAAATTGTAAGATAAAACTTATAATAATAATAGACAAAATGTTTATTACCGTAGAATTATTATTACTTTCCCAGCTGTTATACGTAACAGAGGGAAAGTATATCAATTGGTCAAAAAATGATCTCCCTCCAGATTTTTACATTTTTGGACTCTGGGGGCCATGAAACATTGAGAAATGCAAAAATATTCTGGGGTTTATCTATATGTATGGATGTTAGTATGTGGGGAAAGTGTAATATATGTTGATGATTTAGATAAACATTAAATGTAATGTAATATATGTTGACGATTTAAACAAAGGAAATGTAATCGAGTAGGTGCCGAGGTGGTGAGACGGAAAGGGAGTGAGAGAGCTCGAAGTAACCAACTGGATGTAGAAGTGTTGAGTTGTATTAATAAAGAGTTATTCATACCATATTATCTGGTCAGTTGAGTCGTTTATAATACATGATGGCAGCATAGGGAAAAATGTATCAGATCCCAGCGCCAGAAATTTTTAATTTTCGTCCCGAAGTTTGGAGAACATGGATAGGGCATTTTGAACGATTTTGAACAGCGTCTGGGCTCCATAATAAAGAGTTAACTGACCAGGTAAATTCTTTCATATATTTAATGGGGCAGAAAGCCGAGGAAGTTTTGGCGTCATTTAGTCTCCCAGAAGAGGATAGAAATGACTATTCAAAAGTTAAGGCGGCATTCGAAAAATACTTCGTCCCAACTAAAAATGTTATATACGAAAGATATAAATTCTATTCTCGGTTTCAAGAAGAAGGAGAAACAGTGGAGAATTTCGTGACTTCATTATATAGTCTGGTTAAAACGTGTGATTTTCCTGCTTCGTTTCAAGACGAAATGATTAGGGATAGAATAGTTTGCGGCATTAGAGACAAAAAGGTTTCGGAATGTTTGCAACTTGAAACGGAACTAACTCTGGAGAAAGCAATAAACACTGCGAGACAGGCTGAAACAGTGAAAAAGCAACAAGAAGCTTTTAAGAACAATTCCGGGAATAAAATATATGCATTATGCAAAACTGCAGGTAGGAAGAATGTAATTTCGAAGCTGGGAGCTACCAACGATTTGTTTACTGGAAACAAAACTGTAAATTCCTGTTATTGGTGTGGAAAACTGGTGAAACATACTAAATTCAATTGCCCTGCACGTAAGGCGATCTGTAATAAGTGAAAAAAAGTAGGTCATTATGCAAAGGTCTGTAAAGCTAAAGTGAGTATAAATGAAATAGGAGAACCTAATCAAAGTTCATTTCTAGGACATGTTAAAGGGTCAAGTAATATAAACAATAGCGTTAAGAAACAGCTTAACCAGTGGAATGCGAACATTTTTGTGGGAGACATTCCTTTAAACTTTAAGATTGACATGGGCAGATGTCAGTTATACCACACGAGACATATAACAGAGTACTATCTCGTGTTAAATTACAAGAAACGAATAGATCTATACACAGCCCTGGTAAAAAAACTCTGGATGTTGTGGGAGTGTTTAAGGAAAAGCTAAGAAATAAGAGATTCCACATCCAAGAAGACATATATGTTATAGATAAACTAGAACACTCCTTGTTGAGCGGTAAAGCAAGTGAACAGTTAAATCTTGTGAAAAGAATACAGGCAGTGGTGATATTCGAAATATTTAACAAAGGGTTCGCTAACAGAAAATTTTTCCTTAACAATTTTTTTTTTTTTGCTCAAATGGTGCATTAGCAACATTAGCACAAAAACTGACCTTAAGATACCCATATAAATAAAAAAGATGCGTTCACAAAATTAAGTCAGTTAAAATTTAACATTGTTTATGTTAGAGCTATAGTTTTTTTTATAAATAATAAAAAAGTGTTCAAAATGGTTTATTTTGTATATATTTTATTACGGCACGTGTTCCGCAGCCATCTTGTATTTTCTCGCACGCGTGGGATTGTGGGATCTCTCTTTATGACTGGATTTAGTTTCAAGAACTTTCTTGAGTCAGTCGCGATTGAACCTCGTTTCAGTCGAGATTGAAACGGTCGAGGGAGGTCGTACCCAGAGTCAGTTCTACCATAGGGCGAACGGAGCAGTTGCTTTAGGCGCTAAGTCCTAGGGGGTGCCTGAGTGGTAAAGAAAATTAAAGGGTATAAATTAGGGGCAACCAAGAAGGGCGCCATAATAGGATCTCGCTCCATCCTAAAGCTTGCCTCGGGCCGGCACTGGTCGTACCAAGGCGAACGTGGTATAATGCTCTAGTTTAGTAGTGTTACAGAGTATAATACCTATATTTTAATATATTTTTTAAAAGAAACAAAACCACTGAGAAATGTTGTGTGTGTTTAACAAGGTTCGAAAAACTTTGAAAATGTTAACAACGGGTTCGTCCGAACCTGTGTGAACCCGCTGAATATCATCACTGATTATACTGTTTTTGTGGCAATCTCGGAACAAGAGTAATCCAAGTCCAGTTTTGATATAATAGCCATAGCATGAGGAGTTTGCTTAAAAGCAACNTTTTTAAAAGAAACAAAACCACTGAGAAATGTTGTGTGTGTTTAACAAGGTTCGAAACACTTTGAAAATAACGAAAACACTTTTTAACAACGGGTTCGGAAAACTTTGAAAATGTTAACAACGGGTTCGGCTGAACCTGTGCGAACCCGCTGAATATCACCACTGAATACAGGAACTAAACTCTACTTTCGATCCATTTAAAGAATTCCCCAATCTATTTCAGGGGATTGGAAAAGTACAGAAACCCTATCACATTAAACTTAAACCGGAAGCAAAGTCTTACGCTTTGGCAGTTCCTCAAAGTACCATTGCCCTTGAGAGATAAGCTCAAGAAAACTCTGGATGAGATGGTAAATAAGGGAATAATCGAGGCAGTAGACGAACCTGCAGAATGGTGTGCTCCAATGGTTTTGGTTCCGAAGAAATCAGGTGAAATAAGAATTTGCATTGATCTATCTAAATTGAATGAGAGCATTGAGAGAGAATACTTTCCAATGGCGTCGGTCGACTATACACTCAGCCAATTTCATAATGCAAAAATCTTTAGTATTATTGATGCTAATGCAGGGTTTTGGCAGATTGCATTGGATCCTGAATCATCTTACTTGACAACATTTATAACACTCTTTGGGCAGTTCAGATTTAAACAGTTGCCGTTTGGAATTAAGTCGGCGCCTGAAATATTTCAGAAAAAAATACATGAAACAATACCAGAGGGCCCTGGAATTGTAGGACTAATGGATGAATTTGTGATATTTGGGGCCACAGAAGAAGAACATGATAAACATTTGCATGAAGTTCTTTGTACACTTCAAAATGCAGGATGGACTTTAAATGCTGAAAAATGTCAGTTCAGAACAAAAGAAGTCAAGTTTCTCGGACATGTAATCTCGCATGAAGGTATAAAACCGGATCTCAAGAAAACAGAAGCAATAGCGAAGCTCCCAAGACCTAGCTCTGTCACAGAGCTGAAAAGATTTTTGGGCATGAGTGGATTCCTAAACAAATTCATACCAAGGATGGCTGATGTTGCAAACCCTCTGTACAAACTGTTAAAGAGCAACGTAGAATGGTTATGGGGGCCAGCACAGGAAACATCGTTCCAAGAGATCAAGAATCAGCTATGTCAAACTCCAGGATTATCAAGGTATGATCCAAAGAAAGAAACATATATTTCCTGTGACGCATCATCTTACGGTCTTGGCGCTGTGTTGTATCAGAGTAAAAGTGGTCATATGTCTCCAATTTGCTACGCATCTAGGACATTGTCGGATACCGAGAAACGGTATGCGCAAATTGAGAAGGAGGCTTTGGCAATTGTTTGGGCTTGCGAGAGATTCCACGACTACATAATGGGCAAAGTCATGAATATTGAAACAGACCACAAACTGCTGATACCAATTTTCATGTCAAAGGTTTTGGACAGTCTAACTCCAACACTGCAACGAATGAAGCTACGAATGATGAGATACGATTATAGCATCGTGTACAAACATTCTACATTCTAATAAAGAGTTAAGAGGGCTGTCTGTTTGCCACAGACTTATGCCCTGTTGAAAATGGAAAGAAGGGAAAGCATGGGGTGTGAAGTATGAAATAAAGTACGAAAGGATAGCTTGAAGGGAAGGCATGGGACCAGAGAGCGCCTGCATCGGCAATTATTGGGATAAAAGGACAAGCATAAAATATAAAATAAAAAATTGAATACAAATGAGTATAAAAGGTAAGTACAGAAAAAACAAAATGTAAAAAACTATTTACAATATATATATTGCAGACTTTCAGTCGCTGTACAAACAGGGAAAGCATCTTATAATTGCAGATGCATTATCCCGTAACCCCATACCCGAACAGGAAAATGAAGAATTGACCGAGGAGATTGAGGCTTACGTTCAAAATATTATCGACACCTTTCCTGCATCTGATAAACGGTTATCGGAAATCGTGTATTTACAAGAGAGAGATCCAATTTGCAAAACATTGATGAGATACTGCGAAGAGGGTTGGCCGAAGAAAAACGAAATACCCGAGAAAATACGAAGATATTGGGAGCACAAAAACTCAATTACTCTCCAAAATAAGATTTTATTTAAAGATGCCAGGATTGTAATTCCAGAAAAGCTTCAAGGAGAAATATTGAACAGGTTACATGAAGGCCATCTTGGAATAACAAAGTGTCAAGCCCGAGCTCGAGAGTCTGTTTGGTGGCCAGGCTTATCAGCAAACATTGAGAAATTGATTGCGAACTGCTCAATATGCATCCAATACCAAAAGTATCATAAAGAGCCTCTTATCCCAAGCGAATTTCCTGAGAGACCTTGGCAAATTGTAGGGGTAGATCTTCTAAAACTAAAAAGCCATTGGTATCTCATAATGGCTGACTACTTTTCAAGATATTTTGAAAGTTGGAGGAATTGTCATCGTCGTCAGTAATTAACCACATGAAATCAATTTTCGCAAGA